GTACTTCAACATATTATTGATCATTGCAAGTACTTATATTATGTGTTTGTAGTAGTACTTCAAACATATTATTGATCATTGCAAATACTTATATTATGTGTGGTTGTAGTACTTCAAACATATTATTGATCATTGCAAGTACTTGTATTATGTGTGGTAGAACTTCAAACATATTAATGATCATTGCAAGTACTTATATTATGTGTGGTAGTAGTACTTCAAACATATTATTGATCATTGCACGTACTTGTATTATGTGTGGTAGTAGTATTTCAAACATATTATTGATCATTGCAAGTACTTATATTATGTGTGGTAGTACTTCAAACATATTAATGATCATTGCAAGTACTTATATTATGTGTGGTAGTAGTACTTCAAACATATTATTGATCATTGCACGTACTTGTATTATGTGTTTGTAGTAGTACTTCAAACATCTTATTGATCATTGCAAGTACTTATATTATGTGTGGTAGTAGTATTTCAAACATATTATTGATCATTTTAAGTACTTATATTATGTGTGGTAGTAGTACTTCAAACATATTATTGATCATTTTAAGTACTTATATGATGTGTGGTAGTACTACTTCAAACATATTATTGATCATTGCAAGTACTTGTATTATGTGTGGTAGTAGTACTTCAAACATATTATTGAACATTTCAAGTACTTGTATTATGTGTGGTAGTAGTATTTCAAACATATTATTGATCATTTTAAGTACTTGTATTATGTGTGGTAGTACTACTTCAAACATATTATTGATCATTTCAAGTACTTGTATTATGTGTGGTAGTAGTATTTCAAACATATTATTGATCATTTTAAGTACTTATGTGATGTGTGGTAGTACTACTTCAAACATATTATTCTTGAACTTCATATATGTTCAGTAAAGACATACGGTACTTTTTTTTCTTTTTCTGATAACTTCAATTGTATTTTTAGTTTCGCAGCATGGAACCTACCCGTAGAGATTCTATCCTTAGAGCATTGAATGAAGATGGCCAAAAGTTAGTTGATGAAGGTGACCCCAATGACCCCGATCTAAAGAGACTTCAAGAAGAAATCAAATATTGTAACAAACTGTTTGAAGATTTCCTTAGGAGGTTAAAAGATGAAGAAGGTTTGTTACGTTTTGAGAAAAAGTTTTAGAATAATTCCTTTTCTGTGGAGAACAAGGACACTGAGAAGAAGGTTTTTTGTATCTTCAGAAAAATAATTACATTTTGGGGGAATTGGGATATGAAATAGGATATATGAAGATTTCTTGTGTCTCCATTTGTAGGATTTTTACAGCAATAATTCCTTTGAAGAAACCAGTGCAGTACCACGGTTTGAACAGATATAATCCTGAACATAATTCTTTATCTGGGTCTGTGTGTACTTATGTCTACAAAGGAAACTGATGTCTTTCAGTAACATTGTTGTAGCTTAACTGACTAAATAGCATACTTGTATTTTATTGAATGTATTGGTCAAATTTATTTTTCTTAGCTCTTAAATTTGCTTTAAAATCAAGCTTTTAGTGTTTTGTAAACCAGAAAGTTGCAGCTGAATGTTTTGTAGGTCGCTAACAAGTTTTTTGTACTGTTTTTTTGTATTTAGTGCAGTTGCATTCTTGTGTGTTTAATGCAGCCGTGTGTTTGTGTGCATAGTATAGGTGTTTTTGTGTGTTTAATGTAAGGGGTTTTGTGTTTATTGTGGCTGTGTGTTTGTATGCACTTAATATAGGTGTTTTTGTGTGTTTAATGTAGGGGTTTTTGTGTTTATTACAGCTGTATGTTTGTATGCTCTTAATATAGGTGTTTTTGTGTCTTTAATGCACCTGGTTTTTATATTTTATAAATGTGTTTTTATGCATTTAATGCAGTTTTTTGGAATGTTGTTAGCTGTTCATTCTTTGTTTTTCTATATTTCAGCTTCAGTTCAGCTCTTTTTACAATTATTTCATTATTTTTGTAATAAAAACGTTTTTGGTAAATTTTTTTTAGCTGACAAGTCCTCAAGCCGTAAATTTAATGATTTGTCGGCCTCTCTTCAAAATGATCTCAATGAAAAAGACAAGATCTTAAAGGGCCGAGTGCAGGAATCCATTCCGAGAGACTTGGAATCACTAGAAACCCTGGTTTTCCAACATAAGGTTAGAAATATTGTGTGATTGTCAGGGCCTTATTTGCAAAACATGGCCCCGAGACCATTTAAATTATATCTTTTTTCCTAAATGTCTAAGTGTAAACTTTTATACTTTGAATGATGAGTCTTTGAAAACAGAAGTGTATTTTATAACCACTCGAAATAAAACCAGGAGCTGCTATCTATAACACCTTAAAATAACTTCAGTAACTTCCTACAAGGAGATTCACTCCCTTGACCCTGACACTTTGTCTTCTCAGGATTTAGACTTGGCATTCACTGTAAAAACAGGTTGAGCAGTATTTTTTTTGGAGAAGAAAGTGGTGCTAGCTTACTGAGTGGAAAATGATTATAAAATCTTTGGTTACAAATTTTTTTCTCTCACTGACAGTCAGATGCAACCAATGTTGTTGTGTACTTCCATGTGCCAGCTTAAAAACTTGGTTCAAGCCTTATAAAACAACTCTTGGTATTGTAAGCGACAGAAAAAATTAGTAATACTAAATGTTAATTAATAAGAATCATAATTCATGTTAGAAAAAGACAAGAAGTTTAACAGCAGTTTTATCCCAACACTGTTATCTATAGTACTGATTGCTTCTAGCATCAAAAGTTGTTCATTACCACAATACTGTTATCTATAGCATCTAAAGTTCATCGTTATCACAATATTGTTATCTATAGCATCTAAAGTTCATCATTACCACAATACTGTTATCTATAGCATCTAAAGTTCATCGTTATCGGAATACTGTTATCTATAGCATCTAAAGTTCATCATTACCACAACACTGTTATCTATAGCATCTAAAGTTGTTCATCACCACAGTCCTGTTATCTATAGCATCTAAAGTTCATCGTTATCACAATACTGTTATCTATAGCATCTAAAATTCATCATTACCACAATACTATTATCTATAGCATCTAAAGTTCATTGTTATCACAATACTATTATCTATAGTATCTAAAGTTCTTCATTACCACAATACTGTTATCTATAGCATCTAAAGTTCATCATTACCACAACACTGTTATACTATAGCATCTAAAGTTCATCATTA